ATGTACTCACACATATTTGGTTTCTAGCCCTAAATAAAGGACATTGAGCCTATAATTAGTGATCCTAGAGAAGCTAAATAAGAAGGAGAACCCAAAGAAAAACATATAGGCATCTTCCTGAACATTAACCTTCATCAGGCGATGAAAGGAGACAGAGACAGAGACCCACATTGGAGCACCGGACTGAAATCTCTAGGTCCAAATCAGGAGCAGAAGGAGAGAGAGCACGAGCAAGGAACTCAGGACCACGAGGGGTGCACCCACACACTGAGACAATGGGGATGTTCTATCGGGAACTCACCAAGGCCAGCTGGCCTTGGTCTGAAAAAGCCTGGGTTAAAACTGGTCTCGCTGAACATAGCGGACAATGAGGACTACTGAGACCTCAAGAACAATGGCAATGGGTTTTTGATCCTACTGCATGTACTGGCTTGGTGGGAGCCTAGGCAGTTTGGATGCTCACCTTACTAGACCTGGATGGAGGTAGGTGGTCCTTGAACTTCCCACAGGGCAGGGAACCCTGATTGCTCTTTGGGCTGACCAGGGAGGGGGGCTTGATTGGGGGAGGGGGAGGGAAACAGGAGGAGGTGGCGGGGAAGAGACAGAAATCTTAAACAAACAAACAAACAAACAAATAAATAAATAAATAAAAAAGAAAATCTGTCTTCAGTATTGCTCTTGAAGAGAGCCTGAGTTTGCTTCTCAGCACCCACATCAGATAGCTAACAACCACTGGCAATTTCTGGTCCAGCACCTTCTTCTGGCCTCAGAGAGAGAGAGAGAGAGAGAGAGAGAGAGAGAGAGAGAGAGAGAGAGAGAGAGAGAACTTTAGAAAAAGAAAACTCTGACTGAAAGCAGACAGACACATTCACCAGAAATGACGCTAGACTGTCATCAGTACGGATATGGCCCCAGCAGGGTCTATGCGGCAAACCTTGCCAACTAGCCCCTACCTATCGTGAGTTCCCACATGTTTGCCTTCCCCCAAGTTGGTGCTCATGAAGCTCAAAGTCTTTTTCCTTCTAAACAAAGCATGGGGGAGGGGGAGTTGCTAGAGGATCCTAGTCATTAGAAAGGCCCTGAGCATGCTCAGTTTCAAATATTAGTTCAAAAGGAAAAAGTAGCAGGCATATATTTTGAGGGCTTGGAACCTGTGTTTAAAGGGTTGAAACAGCATAGGAACCCTTTGGGGCATGCTCAACTTTCTCCAAAAAGCCTCAGCTAAAAAAGCAGGAAAGGACACCCTGAAGGAGTAGCAGTGCAGATGCCTGCTGCACTTACTAGCTAACATAGTCACTTCTCCGAAAAGTCATTGCTCTTTCCCTGATATAACAGACATGGGATTTAATATAATATAATTTCTATGGGCTCCCGTGCATATGTACAATACACATATTAAAACATCTTTGTTTTCTCCTACTAATCTGGCTTTCATAGTTCTAAATCACAGAGCTCTGACCAATTATGCTAAGAATGAAGCCTCTACCCTGCCCCCATGAGGTCCTCTAAGACGTGTGGCTCTTTGACCTCACAACCATTAGCAAGCATGGGGAGTGCAGGATTTGTGTATGGCTGCTGCTGCCTTTAATCCCAAGGTGGACAGCCCTTGCGGTGGTCAACAGAGAGACCCTTTCTAATGCTCACTTCTCATGCCATTTCCTTGCTGTTAGCACCTCAAGTCCACCAGATAGGGACCTCCAATGAAGCCACCACTGACAGAACATCTGGGCTACCATGTGGCTGTCTCCTGACTGGGAAACTGGGTGAGGCTGGGAGACTCACCACCCCAGTCATGCCCTGATCCTGCCACATTCCCAGCCGGGCTTCAGAGAGCAGCCTGTCTGTCAATTCTTTCTGAACATTCCCTGTGGAGTTTTGCTCGCTTTCAATGCCGAGCTCTGCCAAACGATCCTGTCTCAAATCTTTTTTTAGCAGTCGATTACCTGTCCCCAGCTTCTCCTTTCTCATCTGCAGATAAGGGACAAAGATACCCACTTGTAAAAACATGGGAGTTCCCAGAACAAGGACACCTTCCTTGTTATGATCAAAGGAGACACAGCGACTCAGTCAGCACAGAGAAGCACCAGCCCTCCCTAACCGTCCGGTCTCTGCGTGCTGGCTGTGGTTCAGCCTCATCAATTCTCTCACACAGTGGAAGCTATTACACCTGGGCTCTTAGTAGTCAAGCACACAGCCCCCAAGGTACCCTTTTCATGGGAAAGAGAAGGATGCTGGCAACTCTGAGAATGTAAGTTCCTGTCCACAAGATAAACTAATGGTTTTAAGCCTCGCTACCCCTTGGGGTCATGAGGGAGGTTATGAAAAAAATACTCGTTTTTTTTTTTTTCTTTTTTGGTCTGGGGTGAGGCCAGTTGGCTTGATTGGCCTAAAGTGAGATGTAGCCAGTTGCAAATTTAGAGTTTCCACACATGGTTCAACTATGCAAAGATTGAGAGCCAGAGAAGACTTTGACCGTCTCATCCCATGCCAGATCGTGGTTTATAACATTAGTACATTAGTTTCCTTGGGGCTGGCAATCAATCCTAGGCAGCAATCATGAAATTGTTAGAAAGAAAAAATGTGCTCTATTCACTAATCCACAGTTGGAATTTTTAATTCAGTCCAGGGGTAGACAAGATTGCTCAGTGGGTAAGGGTGCCTATCACCACACCTGGCGACCTGAGTTTGACTCAGGGATCCACATGGTGGGAAGAGAGACCCAGCTCCACCAAGGTGTTCTCTGAGCTCAACAACACACCACACCATGAGCATGTGAACTCATACAAAATAATTGTAATTTGTAAAAATGAAGGCCAGGTGGTGGTGGCACACATCTTTAATCCCAGCGCTCAAGAGGCAGAGGCAGGCTTATCTCTGTGAGTTCAAGGTCAGCCTGGTCTACACAGAGTGAGTTCCAGGACAAGCTCCAAAGCTACAGAGAAACCCAGCCCAGGGGATGGGCAAGGGAGAAAAGAAAAAAAAAAGAAAGGAAAGGAAAGGAAAGGAAAGGAAAGGAAAGGAAAGGAAAGGAAAGGAAAGGAAAGGAAAGGAAAGGAAGTGCAGCCCAGCAAGCAAAAGGCAGAAGCAGGTGGATCTCTGTGAGTTCAAGGCCAGCCTGGTCTACATAGGAAGTACTAGACCAGTTCAACCAGAGCTATCATTGTGAAACCCTGGGAGAGAGGGGGAGAGAAGGGGAGACAGAGACAGAGAGACAGAGAGCTAGAATGCAGGCTGCGCAGGGGTAAAGGCAAACTCAAGTTGGATCTGGGGTTGTTTATTCACTTGCGGGTCATCTGGACTGTGTTGCAGTGGTCACTACCATTACTGACTTCCAACAGTCCACAGCAATTGGTCAGACCCTGGAACACTTAGGCGAAACAAGAAGCATCTTTCACACTCTCTTCTTGGGAAAGAACAAAATTACATATGAAATGGCCAGTGGTCACGATTCCTCCACTTTTATTTTCCCAACTTGGGTCAGGTGGGGTGAATAAAGGGTAAGTGGAGCCGAAAGTCTTTTCCTCAGGGAGAACTTTCAGTCGGCACATCCTATATTTTGTCCCTTCAGATCTCTTTGTAGCCCTCATATCTGGGCAAGACGTGAGGACAGTACCTGGAAGCATACCCAAGCTCCCTCCAGGGGTCCCAGCTAGAGAAGTAAAGAACCAGTGGCTGCAATAGCGTGTGTGTGCTGCCACCTTCTGGGGAGAGCAGGTACTTCATCCCACACCTGCAGCTTGTATTGCCACCCATTTTACAGATGATACTATTGACAGACAAATCATTCCGTCTTCATTCACCAAGGTCAAGCTCAGACCCATAACTTCCAAGTTTCATAATTTTTGCAAGCCACACACATGTGCATAAAGCAATTCCTTCTTTGTTTGATCTGGCTTACTTTATTTTTTTTTTCCTTGAGCAGGTTTTCATGCAGCCCAGGCTGGAGTTACAATTGCTTGCCATCACGCCCAGCTTTGATCTTCTTTCTTGAGGGCATAAATGCCATTCTAGATCCAAGTATTTGCCCCAAGATCACTGGATAAGGCTAATAGAGCACACTTAACCAGTTTCTAGGGTTGGCGAGTCCTTGAAGCCGCTGATAATTTAAATGATTCCACTGAACTTGCACAAGTGGAAGCTGTAGACACAGAAGAGACTTCTTTTTCCAACCCCCCCCCCCCCAAGTCTCTCACCCCTATACTCAAATCACCTCTGGCCAGCCGTAGCACTTAGGATCATTTCTTTGCACATGGATCCTTTCCTGGATCCCTTCAAGCAGCCTGCCGCAGCCCATGTTGATGATCAACCAGAGTCCTGGCAGCACCTGACCACCCTAGAAGAGAAGAGAAACAGCACCTACCTCGCCCCAGCCTGCTCTCATGTGGTGAACTGAGATGAGAACATTGTTGGGGCCACCCAGTCTTAGGGAGGCTTCAGAGAGTCAGAAGGAGCCCCAAGAACCAATCGTGTACAACAGAGTGACAAAGACACCATCACCTCGGGGGGGGGGGGGGGCTCTGATCAAATAAACTAGGAGAGATGGTTGAGGTGGATCATTCTCAACCCCCACTGTGCCCATATCCGCTGAGAATGAGCTTCTGGGGGGGGCAGATGCCTAGGCTAGAACTCAGCCGTAGTTTCAATGACCCCGGGTCTGGAGAGATGACTCAGCAATGATGTCCTTGCCTTGCAAACATGAGGACCTGAGTTTGATCCCCAGAACCCATGTGCAAAGGCTGGGCATGGTGGCATGCTTGTAATCCCAGCATCAGAGATAAAGATACTAACAGATTCCCTAGGACTCAGGCTGCCTAGTCCAAGGCCCATGAGAGAGACTGTCTAAATAAATAAATGAAAGAAAGAAAAAAGAGAGAGGAGGTATGGAGAGAGAGAGAGAGAGAGAGAGAGAGAGAGAGAGAGAGAGAGAGAAAGGAAGAAAGGAGGGAAGGAAAAAGAAAGGAAAAAAGGAAGAGAAGGCCTTCCTGAGAAATGGCATCTGAGGTCGGAAATTGCTGTCCCCTGGCGTCTGCACGTATACACATGAGCACATTCATCTGAGCACACACATGATATCAGGCATTTTGAAGATGCAGCCAGCTTCTTTTTTTTTTTTTTAGATTTATTTATTATGTATACAACATTCTGTCTGGATGCATGCCTGCAGGCCAGAAGAGGGAGCCAGATCTCATTATAGATGGTTGTGAGCCATCATGTGGTTGCTGGGAATTGAACTCAGGACCTCGGGAAGAGCAGCCTGGACTCTTAACCGCTGAGCCATCTCTCCAGCCCCAAAAGCTTCCTTCTTTCGTATCCTGTGTGGGGGCTGCCACCAGAAGATGTAACCCAGATTTGGAATGGTCTTCACACTTCAAATGATCCAAATTTAGTGTGGATCTTCCCACATCAAGTGATCCAGTTGAGAAAATCCCTCGTGGCTGTACCCAGCTCTTTGGGTTTTAATTGCATCCAGATGTAACCAAGTTGACAACCAAGATTAGCCCTCACATGTACTGCATAGTGAGTTTGAAGCCAGCCTGGCCTGCATGAGCCCCTGTATCAAAATGATGATAAAGATTAAGTCTATTGGCTAAGCTGTGGCATGGAATTCTATACCCTTGATGACAAATGGTCTTCCTCTGTGCTTCTGCCCCCATGGAATGGGGCAGAGGAGTGCAGGAAGGTAATGGTGGATGGATAGGCTCAATATATTATATAAATGTATGAAATTTCCAAAGAATAAAATTAGTACTTTAAAAAAAAAAAAAGCAGGTGACCCATCCCCAGGACACTTTCCTTATCCCAGTCTTCAGACTTCTGGGTTTCCTTGCTCTGTTGATAAATTCAAGGAAATGCTTTACCAGGAAGAGAGGAGAGATAGTATCCCCCATACAGGTGTCAGGCAGAGCTGAGCAAGTCATCAAAGTCTTCTCCATCCCTGAACACCTCCAGACCCATCTTAGCTCCATCTATGGTCATGACAAAATAAGAAAAACAAATAGTGCTTGAGTATCCTAGGGAGAAGAGACCCAGATGTCTTATTTAAGAATGAAAGAAATTCAATCCTTGTGTCCAAAAAACAGTTCTATCACTGAAGTCAGGTCCTAACTGATGTTCAGGAACCTGCAACCCACATCCAAATGTTCCTCCAACAGGAAGCGTCTGGGGCATGAGGGTGCTCATGAACCCAAGAAACCTATGCTGTGCCTCCATAAATTCAACATAGAAACATAGATTTGAAGCCGGGCTGTGGTGGTGCATGCCTTTAATTCCAGCACTCGGGAGGCAGAGGCAGGAAGATCTCTGTGAGTTCGAGGCCAGCCTGGTCTAAAAGAGCTAGTTCCAGGACAGGAACCAAAAAAGCTACAGAGAAACCTTGTCTCGAAAATAAAAAAAAAAAATAAAAGAAAAGAAACATAGATTTAAGCCCTTGTTTGGGATAGAGTTCCTGTTTGCAGGTGGTGAGCACTTGCCCCTAGGGCTGTCTATGATTTCCAGTAGTCTTGAGGCAATAGCTTTCCACACTGGATTTTCAAGTCCAAAGACACTTGCCCGCCACCAGGAGGAGACAGAATCTGTCTGGACTGCAAAGAGGGTAGAGCAGTCCCCAATGCTAACGTTCCTCTTTGTTTTGTTTTTTTTTTGTCTGTTTTTTGTTTGTTTGTTTGTTTGCTTTATGTCCATACTGTCTTATGACCATGAAAGGAGCTTAAGAAAAGCTGTACACAAAAAACAAACCCATGCCTTTTTCTACAGCGCCCAAACTTCCAAAGGCAGCAAAGGACCCCTTAGAAAGAACCTCTTTTGATGTCTGGAAGTTTTGTATTCTGACACAATCTCTTCTCTGCATTTTCTCCCAGAACTGACTGTGTAAACCTTCCGTGGTGAGCCAATGAGTCCTTTAGGGAAACTTGCTCCTGAGTAGTAAACACACAAAATACCAGCCCCGCATCTGTTTCCACAAGAAATTCAAATAAACTGTCTAAAGATGCAATGCCCTTGATGCAGAGAGCTGGCTTCTCTGAGCTCTTCAAGAAGCAGTTCTATGAAAAATTTAGATTCGTATCCTTCAAAGAACTGAAGCGTCTCACCGTGAAGCTGACACTGGGCGCCGCCAGCAATGACTTGGAAGTTTTTCAAGTTTTTGTGTACTCTTCAAAATCAGACCCTAATATTCTCTTTGTAGGACTTGGAAGGGCCTGACTGTGGAGAGGGGTGGGGTTATTTCCAAAGTAAACAAATAACCCTCTTAATAACGTCTCCACACTTCATTCGTGAGCAGTCTTTATTGAGTGCCTACCATATACCCTTGCTATTTCACTTTACCCATGCAGAAAAGGAGAAATCTTTGTCTACCTCAAGATGATGTCTGGGCCCCTGTCACAAGAGACAGATTAACGAACAAGAGGAAAGCACGCAAATTAATTTTGTATTTCAAATAACATGAGAGTCTTCATGGGAAGCCAAGATCTGAAGAACCAGTTCAATCTGCGCACTTTTGTACTAGTTTTTTCTAAAGAACAACAAGTAGGAAAGAACAAAAAACGGTGTACACTAAAAGGAGAAAACAGAAAACCTGGGCAAGTTCTGCCCATTCAGATCCCTGACCATCTCTGGTGATAAGGGCATGACTCTCCTCCAAGCGTAGTGAGGGTGGCTGTCACAGCAGGGTCTTCTGACCTCCTTCATGGAAGACCAGAAGGTCCTTAGCACTTGCTGCTCCTCTAATTCCTTCAATTTAAAATGTTCAATAGGCCAAAGTGTCCAGTTTGGGGGATGTGTGCCCTGAAACACTCCAGTCGACATTTAGCTTGTCTTAGCTCTCAGACACAACTTACCTGAGTTCTCTATTAGTTCATTGTGACTTCCAAGAGTAAGGCAAGTTAGCTTGATAGCCTACCATCCCAGAACTCAGGAGGCTGGGGCAGGAGAATTATGTGTCAAAGGTCAACCTGAGCTACATAATAAGTCTTAAAATATATATATATATCACTCCAAAAATTGTTTTAAAAGAAAGTGCAAAACTATATCCAAAATATAGACTAGATGAATTTTTTGAATATTCCCCCAAAGCTTTAAAATAAAAAGCACCAATTTCTTGATAGATCATTTACCCACAAAATAGTAAAATCATAGGCAAAGTGTCTATGCAACTGTTGTCAAAGCATCTCTTTGAAACAAACATCATACGCCCAGGAGAGCTATACTAAGCGTTTCTGAAGTGCATCAGGAAAAGTGGAGCAGTGCCAGCTCCCATTAGGTATATTTAAAATCAGCAATCACCCTGAGGGCGCAGTTCTCAAACTACTATGGGTCGTGATCCCTATGGTGGAAATGGGGAAACCCTGCAATGGGGGCCACCTAAAATCATTGGAAAACTATTTACATTACAATCACAACAGTAGCAAAACTACAGCTATGAAGTAGGAATAAAAATAACTTTATGGTTGGGGCTCACCACAACATGAGGAACTGTATTAAAGGGTCACAGCATTAAGAAGGTTGAGAACCACTGCCTTGAGACATACTTGGTGGCAGGTATACCATTCCAGGTCTGGAGTGGGAAACATGAAAAAAAAAATCATGTAAAACCCTCAAGAAAAATGTAATGAAAGAACTGTGTGCAAGGGTTTTGAGAAGACAAAAGAGAGAGCAGAGGAGATTCGTGGACCCTCAAAGAGCACACAGCAGCACCCTCCAGGCAAAGAGATGGTGGTAGATGCAGGCAGAGGATGCACCTCCTTCCAAAGATGCGTGGGATTCTTCCAGGAACAGAGCCACTGGAAGCAGGTGGAGGAGGGAGTGTGGCGAAGGCCTTCTGGAGTTTGGAATGCATCTTCAGATAACAGGGACCCATGGGGGCTTTAAGACAAGGTGTAAACCAAGATGCGCTAACCAGAAATACATCTGGCAGAAATGTAGATGATGGATTCAGGGGGAAGAAACGGGTGAGGGGGAAAGCAGACAGCTTTCTCCCTCTGCTTCCTTCCAAGTATACAGATCATCCCAGGGGGCATCATGATGTTCTGAGAAGTAGCCCTGATATGCCCTGGCAAGAACAAACTCTACCTATGAAGTGCCCTTTGGCACCTGCCACAGGACGGCGGATGCTGCAGGGGCAGTGGTTTTGTTCTGGCCGCAGGCGTTATTATGCGTGCAGCAAACATTCAAAGAAAACACAGTGTTTCTGTTGGCAGATCCTTCACGTTGAATCCCCCAGTTTCTCAATACGCTGGTGTTCTAATGTCACCCTTGACTGTTTCAAAGCGACAATTTCTGTAGCAGCTCTTCTCAAATTATCCAACAAGGCGTGAATTTGTTAACTCTTTCCAACAGCAGCAACGATAGCTAAAGCGTTTGTCTCTGGACTGGTAACTATGGAAACAGAATCAGGGTTCAATTTCTGGAGCTCTGAGTACTATGTTCACACTGGAATGTGGAGAGATACAGAAACCAGAAAGTGTTTCCCTTGAAATAGATTTCAAAAGCTCCGTAAAACCCCTCCTGGAACTGTGCAATGGTGTCCCTGCTTTCATCCCTTCCTCCTTTCCTTCCTTCCTTCCATCCTTCTTTGCTGTCTTCCTTCCTGGTAGAATGATTTTGACAATTACCCTTCATTATCAACTTGACTGGATTTGGAAATATGTAAGAAACACTCTTCTGGCCATGGCAATGAGGGCATTCCACAGAGCTTCAACTGGGAAGGAAAGCCTCCCACCAGAACCTGGGCAGCGCCATCCTGTGGACTAGAATTCTAGGCTGTCTGAAAAGGATAAAAAGATTAAGTGAGCTGAGTACCAGAAATCACCTCTCTCTGCTGCCTGTGAGCACGGTGTAATTCATAACCAGTCCCCCCTTTCCTGGCCCCACACCTTCCTGCTGCGATGAACTGTGACCCATGGCAGATCTTCCTCCCTCAAGTTGCTTGAGTCATAAACTGTGCCACAGCGATGAGAAAGAATCCCTAATACCGTGGCTGATTTGATCTGCATTTTCTTGATCTCTTTAAACAGAGATCAATTGCTCCCAAGGCATCCATTGTAAACCACTTCCTGTTTTGAATGGCATCTTCCAGAAAGCCAAAATAGACCCATCTGGTCTTCCAGCTCAAATCCTATCGAGGAACAAGAGTGAATCACAGATTAGTGAAATGATTTTTTTTTTTGGTCTGGAAAAGAAGAGAGCTACACTAACAATGAGAAGCCACTGAGAAGACAGAGGACCTCTTGTCTTCAAGCGTGAGCACACTGCTAGGCTGCAGATCAACGTCCCCACAGATGGGCCTACTACGCCTTTCTTGCCTGTCTTCCCTTCCACATCTCAGGCAGAGTCTTAGCCTTACTGGCACTGTCTGTCACAGGGCTTGGCATGCCACCATAAAGAAGACCAATACTGTATATGGGCCTGTGTCATCCAGGGCACTGTGTCATTGAATTCCGACAGGTATGATGCTACCAAAAGTAGTTAGCAACCCCACCGCCACTTTACATAAGGAAGGACCATAGTGCCCAATTTTTGTTTTGGCTTGTTTGGTTGAGTTTTTGGCTTTTTGAGACAGGGTTTCTCTGTGTAGCCTTGGCTGTCCTGGAACTCACTCTATAGACCAGGCTGGCCTCAAACTCACAGAGATCCACCTGCCTCTGCCTCCCAAGTGCTGGGATTAAAGGTGTGCACCACCACCGCTCAGTTCCATACTGTGCATTTTGCTTTTGCATGAGAAACTGAAGCCCAGTTACTCTCCAGGAAGAATGAGCAAACACTTGAACCCGGTCCCATGACTTCAACCTCCAGCTCCTCCCACCCACCTCAGTGCCTCTGCGGGAAAACAAACAGAAGCCATGGCTTCATCTCTGTGGGAATTCTCCTTAGTCTACATGCATGCGGACTGGTGTACGTGCGACAGGATTACACTTTAAACAAACGACAACAGGGCAAAGCTCAAACGTATATTTCACCTATGCTGTAAAAT